AGTATTTCTGGTATAAGCTTGTAGAGGTATTGCTAGATCTTTCCTCAAAGAAACCTGGTTTCCCTTTCAAACACTGAGTGTTGGCTCTGTGAAAAACTAGTTTAGACTTGGAGACTGAATGAGTGATTGTGATTGTTTTATTACAGTGGAAAATGTCAACCTCTTCCTCACCAGGTGTCATTTTTGTCTGTTTATATGAGTCAAGTATCACTCTAGTCTAGTTTATCCCTAAAGACACCACAGTCTGTTATCCTTCACCACAAAGTCCTCTAGATAAAAGGCAACCTGGCTGCTACTCAGATCTGCTGCTCATTACACTGGTTATAGCTATACTGAGTCTGGTGGTGAAGGGTTACCAACCAACCTCTGTCATTACAGAATCCTATTATCCTGCTGACTATAGAGATCCTAGTTTCACAGCCACATTCCCTACTGCAACCCAAGTCTGCAGAGGACAGTCACCCTTGAGCTTCTCAAGGATGACAATGCCCATCTGATCAATGCATGTCTCATAGTAGCAGGAGCGTCCTTTGGGAACTCTCTAAAAACGAGTCTCATATAATAAACCTGTGCTAACTTTCCCACCTCCCCAAGCCTTCTGAACTCTCCTTCAATATTCTGTAATGGCAGTTCCTGGATCTCTATCTCACTTACTGTACATATGTCATCATGGTAGGAGTCTAAATGTCAAAGAACCATCATAACAGCCTGAAGATATTCTTACAGATAACTAACCCAAGTCATGGAAGAGTGCTTCCACCTTAAATTCTCCCTGGTCCAATACTATCAAAATCCAGACCCAGATTACAGCTAACTCAAGATACATTAGCTAAAGCCAGGAACATGACCAAGACCAACTTTGATGGGAGAGTAAGCAATACTCTACCTACTCTACTGGGCTACCTGCAATTGTGATGTGGTGACAGTAATAGTTTAGAATCATTAAGTTTACGGAAGAAATTAGTATTTTGTATCAATGACTCAATTACAAATCCCATGGTGAAGATTTACTAAGTAATTTACGTTTTACTAGGGACTCTGCTAAATGATCTCCATGTATTAACTCATTAAGTACATTGACAAATGTTGTTTTCACAAATGTCTGGACTGTATGATAAATGTTTCTTATAAGCATCAGTCAAGACTGCATGAAATTAAACAAAAGATGAACTCTGAAGTAACTGTGAATAGATTCAGATGTCCTGAAGAATGAAAATGATCCTCTATATTCATGAGGATTTTTATTAAATTAATGAAAATATCCTTGGTTATTGATGATATACTGGGAGTAAGAAGTGTCAGTAGTTTTGGAGCAGATTAAAGTACTGAACACAAAAAAGACTTTCCATATTCTATGTAAAAAGCAACGGAGGCAAAACTGTTTGAAAGTATGGCATCAACCACAAGAAAGACTATAAATGCCTTCTCCTAAACAAACTATGGTGAGTGTATTACCTTATGCAACCACAAACTTAATAAAGATCTTTATCACCAGGGGATGAGACTGTGTGTTTGAGGATACGTGGAGGGGAAGAAACTGTAAATGTAGCTATTGATATGGAATTTGTAATTAATAAATTTTTGGATACTTGTCCTAAACTACATCCTATTCAAAAATTCATCGAAAAAATATTGGTTGTTTTAGTTTGACATAAACACATATAATTATATTTCTAGAAATGCACTGAAAAGGACTATAAGGTGATACACCAAACTATTTAGCAGTCACCTCTGAGAGTGGTGGGTGAGGGAGTGAAGAGGACCATTCATGTTAAATACCTTATTGCTTAAATCATTTACAAGAGGACTAAATTCATAATTCATTTGTTATGGGTCTGGAAATATTGAGAAAGAGGAGAGAGAGAAAAGAAGGAAGGAAAAAAGGAAGGAAGGAAGCAAAAAAAAAGAAGGAAAGAAAAAAGAAAAGAAGGAATGAAGAGAGCAGGTAGCCAGCTCCTGAAATTATGAGTGTCTAGAGAGAACAGTATGTTGGCACATTTACTAAAAAACCCTTGCCTCCTTTCTTTCTTACCTCCCCCACATACATTTATAATAAGCTCTCCTTAAATGAGGTAGTCTGAACATGGTTCTAGTCCATGTAAGCTAAAAAGAAAAGCAGCCAACATATATAAAGGTTCTGCAGTGCATTAAAACACAAAAATACTGAAGTTTGTTGAAATGCATCTAATTTAGGCTTAGAAATGCTAAGAATTATTTTTAAAAATTTCTTATTTCATACCTACACATTCAACTCTAGACTTTAGAGTCTAAGCATAAGTTGCTTAAGAATAATAAAAAGTCAATATATATTTTATGTATCAACATGTTTATCATGTGCTGCATGTATATACGTATGTGTATATATATAATTTATGTACATATATTTATAACATATATTTAACCCTTGAAAGGAATCTATGATATAGGCATGATGGTTACCATCATTTCTAGTATATAAATAAGAAAATGAGGCACAGAGAAAAGAGAGGTTAAGGAACTTTCCCGAGATCACAATGATAGTCATGATGGATCCAGGGTTATAACCAAGCAGTCCCAGTGCCATGCTCTTAACTACTGACCTTCTTCACTTATTCTACTTCCCTTGGGTACATTAACACCCTGAGGCCACTACACATTGCCAACCAAGATTATTTTTAAAGAAAATTTTACAGAATCTGGAAAAAATGTTATCTTATAATACGTCTGGAAATAGAAATCTTTGTGATCCTTGTTACCACAGGAATAGGTACCAGATTAAGAAATCTTCTGAAGAGTAAATGAGGAACTTCTCTCTTCCACTGCATTTCCAACTATTATCATATTCAGAATATGATAAGGCAGCAAGAAAGTCATTCCAGCTTCATGGTATCAGCCAAGAAAAACCATCCTCAGGACCAGATGCCAACAGTATGCCCTGTAGTGTTTGGCCAGGATGCCAAGGCCCAGCTGTTCTGTCAGCCTTCTTTACACAGTTTGCTGACAAAGAAGAAGCCCGGTTCATGTTTCAAACAGGCAACATAAACTGAAACTGATTCACCTGCAAACACCTGAATTACTTCTAGAAATAAAGAAATAATGACACTGACATGATAAATTTTTTGTAGGATCAGAACACACTGAAATGTTTCCAAAAATGAAACTTCTCAGGAAAAATAAATAAGGCAATAATCTACGCCCATCTTTCTTATTTTATTTTGGATTGGCCAGAGATCAAAGATTCCATTCCAGATTGCTGAATCATGAAAGGGAAGATGCATGGAGAAAATAAGAAATTGCTACTTAATATTAAGGGAACATAAGGATGAAGACAGAGGGAGAATAACAGCCGGAATGACTTAAAAACAAAGATAAGTTGCATTTTTAAGTAAAATTTGAAGTTCAGGAAGTGCAGAATTTGGTGCATTCACGGTAGGAATAATGGGATCATCAATGAGTCTGCTCTTGCGGCTTCTTTTACATTTACTTGGACCTCCCTACTTTGATCTCAACTTTTTTATTCTGGAATTCTTATTCTATGTATATAAGTACAAAAATTAAAATCAAGTTATAACACTAAATTTTCTTTGGGATAGTATTCTTTAGTTAATGTTATCATTTTTTAACTTTAGTAAAATTATTTGCATTGGACTCCATTGTTTTCTGCATAAATTTTAAAATAAAAAAGCTTTCCATATCAGCTTATTTGTCTATACCAAGTTTTAACAATTATTTCTTCTGTTTTATATATTTAGTTTTTTTCTACCAAGTCTAATTATATTGGGTAAAGTTTTGCATTACAATTTTGTGAAGACAAGTTTATTATTTAATTAATTTTCAGTTCTTAGCAAAGATCATAATTTGTAATTTGTGTAGATTTTGGATTTTAGCTATTGTGGTTTTTATTAGTTTTCAATAATTTTAATAATTATTTTTTAGATTACTTTTACCAACAGCATAAGTTCAATAAAGCATATTTCACCATTTCACTTTATTCATGGCCTCATTAATCTATTGCTTCATTCTGTGAAGTTTACATGCTTATTTTCATTTGTTCTTCAGGGTTAAAATGGTAGTCAAAACATCCTTGAGGATCAAGGAGTTAAGGATGGCAGGACCAAAAGATGAGGTTAAAAGGAATCTTTGTTAAAAGATCACATTGTTCTTTACTTTCCCCTATATAGTTCTGTTAGCTGGAATTTTTTTCCTGTAGTACAAATACTTAAAATACGTAACTGTGTCTACCAAATGAGACTTTTCTATCACAGTGTTGGTGTTGATTACAAATGCATATTTTGAACAAATCAGGTTAAATATATAACAATATGAACTGGCAATTAATAAGTAAAGCATCCTGAATAATCTGTATCTGAATTACATTTTTATATCACAGATACATAATTTAACTACATTACCTTGTATCTTATCCTTTCTTACACTCCTATAAGCGTTTTCTTTGCTCATTGTTTATAATTTTAGAGCCCTTTCAAAGTCTCAATTTCTGTTCCTGCCATTAAATTAGCTTATGAAAGCTGGAGCTGATGACTCTGATAACCTGAATGCTTATAGCACCTGCAAAACATTTGTTTTTGAGGCTTTCTATGAATATAATGACTAGGAATAGGAAAAGTATATGACCTGGTGCATCACATTCTCAGAACAAATGCTTCCTCCACTGCAGTTATGTCATCATGAAATCATGTTCTACATTCTAAAATAAACTCATTGCCATATGAATTGTTATCTTACTGTGATATTTTTGTAGTTGTCTTTTTTAACAGCTTCCTTTGAAGTGTCTTTAAAATATCTCACGATACCCAAACAAAAATTTCTTTTTTGTCTTACCTACATGAATAACTCAACCTTGAATGTTCAGCAATTACCACCCTTATCCTGGGTTGCACATGCATACCTGAATTTCACACACACACACACACACACATTTTTAGCTAAATCTAAAAGATACTTTTTGACTTCCAAGAAAAGTCAAATTGTTTTCCACAATGTCACAGTTCGGGACTCACCTGTGGACGTGGATGTCCTGTGACCAGACAGGTCAGTTCCAGGGTTTCTCCTTCCCGTATAGTGTAGACCCTTTCAGAGTAGCGCTCTTCCTCTATGTTACAGGCCAAGCCTGAGTGCACAATACGAACCGTGGGGGGAGCTGTCGAGTCAGGAAGAAGGGAGACAAGACACATAAAAAGATAAGTAAACTGTCTTCCCATGACTCATTGTGGTTGTAAGAGCAATTCTTATTAGACTTTACCATTGTCAGATCTATCAGTCTTAATACTTAGAGCATCCTCAAGGGATTAAAGATTTTGCTGGACAGAAAACTTCAACTTTATCTCACAGTCACCAACACATTCTGAAAATGACAAACGGGAATAGGGTGGCAGAGGAAAAACTGGTGATTCAGGAAATCACCATCATTACAATCTCAATGATAAAATTTGATGGTTAAAACGTGAGAGTTTCCTTTCTGAAATCCAAAATTTAATACAGTAAAGGATGTTGTTCAAAAGCTAGATAATGCAAAAGAAAGACCATCAGAAAGGAAAAAGGAATTTGAATTAAAGATACTGTCATTTTTCTATTAATTTTATAAGCCACGTGGTACAAATAGGGAGCTACAGAATAGGAAGATTTGGTCATTACGAACTGAATACCAACTTAGTTTTCAATATTTATAGACTCCTGGATTAATATGAGCAAAAGATGATCACTGAATTAAGCCACTGATGAAGGCTATAGATCACTGATGCCTAGGTATAAAATTCTGATTCAAGATACATATACTTTCATGAAACTGTCCAAATTCCTAAATACAATTTTCTCCTACTTCATTGCCACATGGGCCTTTAAAATTTGACTCATACTCACTGACTTCTGTGTTATTGGAAACCCACTATACTCAAAAACTCTTCGGGTCATGAGAAATACTTAGATAATAAGACACGCTTTTTGTTATCAAGGAGATCACTTCAAATGACTAGCTTCAAACTGGAGGTCATCTCCATTTGTAGATTCAGCATTTTTGTTTGTAATATATTTGGCATGGAGGAGAAAGGGTTATCTTAATCAAAAGCAGGAGAAAAGCTGTATCTACACGTAAAGAACAGCAATCTCAAGAATTTCCTGGTAGCAATCTCAGCCTAAGTGGTATTATTAGCAGGGTCTGTGGTTGCTTAAAATTAATATAGGCACATTTAGAATTTTTTATTTAACATTTAAAAGACTATGAGTCCCATAAAATGTCAAGACGAATTTGGTGATTTTATAGAGGAAATAAAGTGATTATTAAGTCCCAACTTGCAGGAAAATTTCTTTTCAGAAACTGTGTGTTCTGAAAGTAAAAAAAGAATAGTTTCCAATATCTAATATTTTGTTTTACATAACAAAATTGCACAGAATACTCAAGAGTTTAGCCTACTTATGGATAATAAAACAACGAGTTATTTCCATTTCTTCCAGGATACCCAAGCAGAGTACTGTTCTTTAACCTTCATATTCAGGATCCCACTCTCCAATACCCAGTAACAAATGACATGTAAAAATTGCCAGCAGTTGGATGAAAATGAAGAATATATTTAGAAAAGTGGTTCTTACATTCAGTGTGCATAATATAAACTCCCCAGGAACTTGTTTAAAACGTAGATGTCAGAGGTGTATACAGAGACTTGTTACGTCTGCAGAAAATTCCAGAAATCTGCCTTTTTACCAAACACCCCAGGTGATGACAATGACAGTGCTACTTAGACCAGACCACTTGAAATAATTTTCTGGGGCTAAATAAATATTTATTTACTAAAGGAAAATACTCCATGGGATAATATGACATCTTTCCCCTTTTAATTTTTTTCAGGTAACTAAACGTCACATTACGCAACCTTTCACTGAATTAAAAATTAAAAGATGCTTAAACAAATCAAATGTTTTGCTTGGTATATAAAACCAATTTATCAAAAAATGTCTACCATGTCTTTGGACTCTGTCTAGACACTGTAATAATTCGTTTAGTTTTATGACATTAGAAATTATCTGCAGTGTTTCTCTGGGTGTTCTGATACAGTTCACACATGGTTTCCTACAAATCATTTCCTATAGTGATCAAATTTAAACTTCAACTTAGATAAGTAATAAGAGAAAGCTATTTCTTTTTGAACATCTATCATACAACTGTACACATATTATAGATGTCAATAAACTGATGACAATAAACATTTGTAAAATATAAATAGAAAATTGTTAAATAAAAAGTATAGACTCATTACACTGACATATATTTCTATGCCAGATTTAGCCTAACAAGCAATAGCCCACATGTTTATTAATGCATCTAATTATATAGTAACATGACATTTTTTCCAGATTAATTTACACTTGTTATCTTTGTTTTAATTTCAAATCAGTGAATAGTATTGTTAATGTTAAGACCTATCTTTCCAAAGCATCATTATGCAAATAAATAGCTTTATTTAAAACATTTAAATTATACAGTAAGCTCACTGTGTTCATTTACAAGGGTTAATTTTCTACTATTTTCTTCTATATTTTAACACATTCTTGGAAAAGGTAATTGCCTATATACTATAGTCATCATGAACCTACCACCTATTTCCACCAAGGAGAGTAAAATATTCTAGCAGATTGTAAGTGTTGAAAATGTATTTTTCCTAGGATACACTGAAATATATGCTTAGTACTTTATAAGCTCAATGATAAGGTAAACATTTTGGAAGCTTTCATTAATTCTTTTGGTCTTCAGAAAGCTCAACTGTAAAGGTCTTAAGAGTTCATCCAGGTCAGTGTTCTTATTTCGAAATTAGGGGAAGAATATCTAAGGACATCCAGTGACCTGGCCACAAATGGCCTAAATGAGACCAGGACCATTTTTACTACTTCATACTAATAAAACTGTGTTTGATATAATTAGAGCTCTAAATAACTCCTAGCTTAGACCTAGACTAGACTAGAGGAATAAAAAGATTGATAAACTGTTCTTGAAGTTAAGCACCGTTAACTAGATCAACAATATAAATAATATAATTGTTCCAAACCTAATCAATGTAACTTTGTCCCAATTCACTATCCTGCCTCCAGTCCCTATCAAATCCATGCAATCTTACAACTGCCAAAATAATATATTGTAACTTCTATTTTCATCATGTTGTGTTCCTTTCTAAGTATCTATTAAGATCTCCCCATAACATGTCAGAGAGTCCAAATCCCCCCACGTAGCATTAGGTGCTCTGTACATGGTCCTCGTACTCACTACCCAACCCGAAATCCCACTTCTCTGTAACATCCTCCCAACGTCAGCGGGAAGTTAAAGAGCACTGAGAATTCAAGTGTCCTTGCTCATGATGCCACACCCCCCCCCAGCTAGAATCCCCACACTGATCTTTGGACCAGCGTTGCTGAAACCTTCATGGACTACTTCAGAGCGATTCTCTTCTCTTTTTTCCAGATGTGTATTTCCCAGTGATTCTCCTTTTTCTTAACATTCTAACTGGATATAAAGAACGTCATTATGAGGATAAACATCATTTGGGGCATCTGTCCCACATCACATAATTCAGAGCAAAGTAAGTATTTAATAATTAATTTACAATTATTTTTAGTATACATCACTATAAGGACTCTAACCTTCTATTTTAACAAAATATAAACTATTATGGCACTGAATTTGCTTGCTTTCAATATAAATGTAATTTGCAGTACTATAACTGAAGCCAGACGAGTTTTATCCTCTGCCTTGTTGGAAAAAACCTCAATTCATCATCCTGAAATTGGACTAAGGGTTATGATCCCATTTGCCCTGTAGAGTCAGCAATGAATTAAAATGTTAAAATATTGCATGAGACTCATATTCATCCTAATTTGCTTGCAGTAAACTAAATCCCATTACATAAAAATCTTCCCTAACCCTAATTATATCAACTCCCTTAATCTGAGTAAGCTGACTTTGGATTCAAGAGGTCAGCCTAAAAGGGCAAAAGACAGGCATTCTTTTATCTTGTTACAGTACACTTTTGAAAATTCTGGACAGTACACAAACCTAATTCTGTCTGTATTCCATTGGAGAGAGAACACAAATAAATTATTCCCAATGGCAACAGCAGGATCGTTTTTTAGCCTTTTATCTCATATACAGACTTTCAAGCATATATTTACTGAGCAACTGCTACAGATTGGGCATCAGGCTATGGGCTAAGGATACGCAGATTAATGTTATGAGCTGTGCCCTCTATGAGTTTACAGCCTACTGGGGCTGCCCCATTTATGTATATACAAAAATAATAAAACAATTACAGTTGAACAAAATAGGTACTTTAACAGAAGAAAGAGAAAGTACTATAAGAGGACAAAGTAGAAGATAACTACAAAGCCCGGAGGACTCCACCAGGTTTCATAAAGCCAGTGACACTTAACTTAGGTTTGGAAAGGTGCATGTGGTGGAAGCGAAAGAGGAAGAACATTCCAGAGAAAGGAAATGGTGTGTTCAAAGGCACATCTGAAAGAGACAGCCTGCAGTGTTTAGGAAATAACTGAATGAAAATGTGGTCCATGTAGTTTATCATTCACTCCAAATCTTGACACAGGTACCACTCTCTCAACTTGCCATTAGTCTCCAGACAAAGGAAAGATACCGCATAGCCCTGGGAATGGAGAGGATGGGAGAGACCTACTTCAGAAGTTTTGGTAGAAGGACTTGAGGATTAACTGAACATGGTGGTGAGGGAGCAGGAGTTAAGGTGACACTGAAGTTTATATTTTGGTTAAACAGGTGAAAGATAATATTTTTTCATAGAAAATGCTGTCTTGATTACTAGAGACTCCACACTGTTCACAGCTGGGAGAGACTTCAGATGAAGGGCGCCAGCCCCCAATCATGGAGGTGCTGTTAGAGGGAGGACTTGGGTGTGAAGTGTTCTGAGGGGGAAGCTTCCTTCATGTTCCTAAAGGGCATGCCGATCTTAGCCAGTAGTAAGCTAAGAGTATGACACTGGGAGTTTCCTCTCCTTTAAGAGCCCCAAGTGAGAGCACTGCTCTTCGGAAAATCCCTCATACCCCTGGTCCAGCTGTCCTCTAGGAATCGAAGTTGCCAGTGAAATCTTGTCGCTCTGCTACACGAGGTCAAGGTAACTTATATTCTTGGTG